AGAAAGTAGTCAAACCCGAGAGGCCCGTCGCCACCGACGCAGTCTCGGTATTTTGACCATATCTCCTTCGTTTCTCAACGAAATCGCAAACCGTTTGATGCGTTGGATTCGCGAGACACGAGGCTACAACTTTTGTTCAAAAATCAGACTGAAATAATGACGTTAAGATATATGAAAATGGCTCACAAGATGACGGTTTACTGCTGCCAGGATTTTGAAGAAACTTATGATGATTTCTTCTTCTTGTTTCACCAATGGAGTTGAAGTTCTTCCTCTTTTCTTTGCTTGAATGAATCTTCCAACAAGAGAGAATGATTGGAAAAGAAAATATGAGTTTTATGAAAGATATGGATATGATGAAGAGAACATAGCCAACCCGTGGAACTCGTCACCACCGACGCAGTCCCGGTATTTTGGCGATATCTCCTTCGTTACTTAACGGAATCACGAACCGTTTGTTGGGTTGGATTCGTAACATCCGGGGATACGATTTTGGTATAATAAATAATTCGAGAAAATGAATAGAGAATTACAGAATTTACGAAGAAGTTGCTGCTGCGTTTTTCACTCAGGATTTTAGAAAACTTTGATATTTCTTCTTGCTCCTTCTTCTTCCCTTGGCTCAACAATGGAGTTGAGAATTCTTCCTCCTGAGTTTCTGCCGAGAGAGGGAGAGGATGGTGATCGGATGAATGATGGATGGATGATGGTGGTAATGTGTGAGGATGATGGTGGTGGTGGTAGGGTAATAATATAGGGAAGAGTAATTGGAGGGATGTGTTGGTGGGGTCCTAATGTGGTTTGATTGAGGATTGGAAGAGATGGGGGGAGTGTCTCTACGTGATTTGGAGGGTTTGGGGAATCAAACATATTCTCCTACTCCGTAACTGATAAACTGGCTAAAACGGTACGCGCTTTTTCGCCCAAACTGTTCCGTTTTGAAAACGGGTCGCGTTTTTGGAATCAGATTGTCAAAAATAGAAATTTGATATAATTAAAATATTTTTCTGGAAACTTTTATTTTTCAGTGTTCGGGTCTGCGTCAGTCATTAACTAATTTTTAAATTAATTAATTCTTTTAGGCCTAATTTCGGGGCGTTACATTATATCTTGGTGAGCACACCAGCGAGTAGTGATGCGCAGAGAAGCTAAAGCCGCAGAGGTATAATCGATTTTTACTTCTCGGCTTCTCCATTAATTCGATCCTCCTTCGCCGGCTCGCCGCTGCTGTCCCGAGTCGCTCCTTTCCTGCGCCGCTGCTGTCCTGAGTTAGTGGTATCCCGCGCCGCTACTGTCCTGACTTCTGAGTCGTGACTCCCCTGAAGCCTGAAGGTTGCTGCTCACCTGCAACGGAAATGGAAAAACAGGGAGAAGAGGTATAAATTCAATTTCTACTTTTATTTCTAACATGACTTTATACTTAAAATTTTAATTTTAACTTTAGTTTGGAGATATCACATTCTTTGACATAAGATCTTAGATTCATGATTCATGAATGTATAATGCTTCATTTACTTCATTCATTCATGAATTCTTCTTATATTTGAGTTAATATATTACTCTCTTAGTTTTTTAGAACTAAAAAGATGTGCGTTTTTCGTGTGTGTGAAATAATAAAATCGCAGGAATAAATAAAGAGAGTAAGGGAAAGAAGAACACCGAGATTTATACTGGTTCACCACTTCGTGGCTAGTCCAGTCCTCCGAGAGACTCTCTCGAAAGTCCTACTAATCTTCAAGCTTCAACGGGTGCTTGAAAAACCGGTACAACTTGAGAACTTGAATCACACAAGCCTCACTTTCTTACAACAACAAGACTTGAGTCACACAAGTCTTTAGAACAACACTCAAATGAGATTGAGTTTAACAACACAAGAATGAAAGCTCACACAATTGAGCAAAGTAGTGTTGA